CGAAAACAAACTTAAAACCATAGTCAATTCTCCCACTGTATCACACTATCATTTGGTTTTTATCTTTCCATACAACCCTAATTACTAAGTAGTAATATGATAAATATAAAAAGACAGTAAAGGTGCGGAAAGTAAAGACATAAAATATAACCCTAAACTATTACACCAGTTTGGGGCAAATACATAATAGACAGTGCGGAAAATAAATCCTGTTATTACATCCAAGAGTTGTTACATAATAACGAAACAAAAGAAAGCGACAAATAAAGATTACATTTGCGAAACTTATACAGTAGATCTAAAAATGTAAAATGAAAATAGAATCGAAGGAAAAAGAAGTGTTTTTGATGTTTTTTATGAAAAGAAATTTTGATGATAATTAATTAATTAAACCTAAAAATTCTAATTGATTTTAAAATTGCAAAAAAAGGTTAGTTAATTAATTAAATTAAAGGGTTAATGGAAAAACCTAAAAAATTAATTAATTTTAATTAGTAAAAAAAGATTAATTTAAGAGTTGATTAAAAAACCTAAAACCTAATATTAGGGTTTGTAAAAAAAGGTTTTGTTTTATGGTTAAGTGAAAATAGGGTTAAGGGGAAAAGAGTTAATGTTATCCAAAAATAGGGTTAGGGAAAGAAAATCAAGAAAAAGGGTTAAAAATTATTTTAAAAATGATGAAAACTGCCAGGGGTGGGTGTTGAACCAACACCCTTAAGGTCATGGATTTTCCTCTTCACCACTGGACCAAGTGCTTGCTTGTGATAGTAGAACGTGCACTGCATAAAATATAGTAAAACTGTGTAAACTGTAAAACATAAAAAAAAAACACAAAAGGCTGGGATCGAACTCACGCCCTGAGAGAGTAAAGCCTTATCATGCGCGCGCTTGCCATTAGGCTATGTTGTTCATCTGGTATATGAACGAAAACAGTTAAATAAATAATAAAACAAGTCACAAGGTCAGAGAAGCGTCGGAGCCCTAACTCTGGTCTTTTTCTCCAGCGACTCTTTTTCTTGATTCCTGCAAAATAGTGCACTTTAGTAATAAAATAGAACCCTACCCCCTTAAATCAAGGGCTACGAGTTCAATGGTGCTGGCCGTTCATCCTAAAAAGGCATGTACATGGAGATGCAAAGAAAATTCTCCCTCGTGCCCTAACTATGGCATATTCTGTTTCCTGCGTCAAAACTTAAAAGCAATGGATCTAAAACATTCCAAACATTAGTATGAACATGTATATATGCTTATAAATGTTTTTTAACGTGAAAATTTAAGTGTTTGTGATCGAGAGGCCTTACCCAATCGACTGACTTGAGTGGGAAACTCCGGGCGTGAACAAGCTTGCTTCTGGGCTTGGTAGTGATCCTGGAAACTTCAGGGATGCGTTTAGATGCTTAGTTTTGAATGAAGGAGGCTGAAAATAGGGTTTTGTGTTTGCCCTAGTTTGTGAGAATTTTTGTGATTTTGGAATATGATCTTTGCAAGGTTTTTTCGTGTCTTCTCATGTCTGAATGAAGAGCAATATATAGAGAAGAATTAGGTTAAACCGTTGTGGGATTGGACCTTTGTAAGAAGGCTTGACTTTATCTTATTTTATTTTGACTTTAAATAAATAGAATAAAAACCCAAGTGGTGTATAAAGTGATTCATAGGTTCACAATGAGGCCTGTAACATACATGGATCTTGAAATATCAGCCTATTAGCCCAAAATTCTAAGTTTGATCACTTTTGGTTTCATGAATTTTCTCAAAATTTCCCAACTTGCACCAATCATAATTCTCTCTCAATTTTTACCATTTTAAGGTGATATTTGACTTTTTGGAAAGATTAAGGTGTGCTCTACAATCTCTATATTGATCATTTTTGCATTTGAAGAATTTATCTTGATGTAAGTTACCTTGACAAAAAGTGTCTTTTTGTTGACTTTTGAAATTACCTATAATGTTTTGGCCCATATCTCTCAAATGAAGTATTTTTTGGACTTGATCTTAAATATACAAAGTTGTAGTGAATTGAATTTTCTTCAAAATGAGCTTTGGTTGAGAAAAATCTGATGAAGCATGTAAAAGTTGTGCTTGGTCAAAGTTTAGTTGACTTCTCCTTAAGAAAACCCTAATTTGGTAATTTTTTACTTTTAATGAATTGGGAGTTTTCTTGATGAATCATGATCAACCCTTGATCAAATGATGAATTTGACCTAAAAATGTTTATGTTAACCAAAAATCTTGAGGTTTGATTGTATGTTGACCATAATTGACTTTTTGTCCAATGCAATTGATTTTCAATCATCTGAGCAATTGACTGGGCAAACTTGTGATGCAAGGCTTGAAACTTGACATGAGGATTATTTGAAGCATATGAGGAACCATGAAACTCAATTAAGGCCTTATAAACTCAATATTACTTGATAAAAGTGAAACCCTAGTTGTAGGTCAATTGCTTAGGAGGAGAACTTGTCTGATCAATTCTTGAGCAACCTTGAGCAATTGAGAACCCTAGGAGAATGTCTTGGATAATCGGAGGGAAAATTTTGGGGTACATCAACATGATTCAAATTAGTTTGCATAAAGAGGGAGTCTTTGAACATTTTTTCATTACAATGTCGTTGTTATTGAACATTTAGTACTTGTCGATCTAACATTAGCCTAGCAGCCACATATGATTAGGAGTCGTGTCATGCACTTGTTTCAAATCACGCTTAATCATTTATTTTACCGTGTTGGTTGATTTCTTAAGGATAAGCAATGGGTTAAGTGTGGGGGAATTTGATAACGCAAAATTATATCGTATATTTGACTCGACTCGCATGAATTATGTTACCGTTTTTAGTTATTTATGTCCTATTATGATGGTAGTGCTATTGTATTTCACGTATTTTCATCCACAAAGCTTGCATGAGAAAAGAAGAGAAATTGATAAAGTAAACGCAAGGAAATATAACGTAGCAAAAAAGAAAAGAAAATTAGCACGCAGAAGGCTGTGGTCCTCGCCACACCTTCTGTGGCCCACGCCATACCCCTAAAACATATGGCCCTCACCATATGCTCCATGGAACTCGCCATGCAAGTAAGAAGGGTGTGGCCCTCGCCACACATGTGTGGCCCTCGCCACAGACCATCTGCCACGTTGCCACGTTCTGTACCTCTCCTATATTTTGTCATTCCACTTCCACCAGTCAGTCACTCACGTTTCTGCATCCTCTCAACCAAATAGTCCAAGTATCATGATTTCATTGGATATTTTTACCAGAGAATGGGATATAAATAGAAGACTTCATGTACGGTCAGGGGGTTACACCATTTTTCATTTAGAGCAGATTATTAGTCTTAATTCTTAGGCAGGAAAGTTTACCATGTAAAAGTGGTAGTTTCTCACATCTAGGAACTATCACACCATTTGTTTTAGGTGTTGTTTTTATTTATTTCAATTATGTACCTGATTTTCAAGCGTGCCAGCATACTATGAAGTTAATTCCAGTTTCGTTTATTCCAAATTATTTTACAAGTTTCTCTTTATCGCATTTCTTATTTCTATTATTTTGTTTGTTTAATTTAATTTCCATGATGTTCTTAATTGCAATCCTTATGTTTAGTTTGTTTACACTTAATTCCATGTTTAGTTAAACTGTCTTGAGTCCGGTATGTGAGGATCGTCGTCTCCGACGGGACTCGGTAACAAAGTTGGCTTAATTATTTGTTTCAAAAATTCTGCTTTGGTTTTTAGTTTTTATATTTAATTTAATTAGCTTTGTCACAAGAGTGAGAGTTTATTTAATATGATTTTTCCATGAGAGTGGGAAATTAACTAAGGTTCGAGTCGGCACTGCGAGAGCGTGGGGGTCGAATCGGATAGTAGAAACTAGACATTAATCCTAAACATAACGAGAGCACTTTATGATTAATTAGAACTTGTTCAGTTTTCAAAATGCGTTCCTCGATTAGAACGGGCGAGCGAGAGAAAAATCCCATGGTTAAGGAATGTGACTTTATTCAAAACCATGAGAGTGTGAGATATTGTCTTTAAATTGATATTTTCTACTAAACACTTTTCTAACGTCAGTGTAAGCCAACAAGTTACAAAGTCCCCGAGATACGCGAAATCCATATTCCGGCCTCTCTTTTATTATATATTTATTTAATATTATTTTAGTCTTAGTTTCCCCTTAATAAATCATTCATTAGCCTTAGCTTTACAAAGTGATGATAGATTACAATAGGTTGACATTAGTCTTTGTGGGTTCGAAAATCTTTTATATTACTTCTATATTTTCGTGCACTTGCGGACACATCACACATCTATTAAGCTTTATCAACTGAGAGCAAGAAACCCTTTCAACATCGCATTGAACTCGATTTTTTATTAATCCTCTTTCAAATATCTTTTCATACCCTTTCAGTGTATGATTGGTATTTGAGTTCCCTCGGTTTTCGCAAATGAGACAAATATATTTAAGCACTCAAACTCTAAAATAAAAATTTCTCTTATTTTTCTCATTATTCACATATAGATGATTCAACCGGGATTTGTCATGAGATAGATCTCATGACCCCTTATCCCTAATGGACTACTCAGACATAATTAGAGACATTGCAAAATAAGCGGTAAAAAGGATAACATGCATAATTTAATCTGATAAAAGAAAAGCAATAACAAATTAAATATACATGACTAAAAGCAAGATTACTCGAACAATGATAAAGAAAAGTGCTTTATAAATTACAACAAAAAATTAGAACTAGAATTAGAAAATAAGATAAAATACAGAAAGGTAGTGTGTCTTTTTCAAGCCAGTGATCAACCTATTTATAAAAATTATTCACTATAAATCACCCTAAATTCATGTAAATGTAACTAAAGGCCTTTTATCACCGAGTTGAACAATTTGGAACACCAAAAGTCGAAAAACCATTACAGAATGAAAAACATTTGCAACTAGAATTTGGCATAACACAGGAAATGTCGCACAACATTGGTAGGCCGTGTCAGGAAACACAACTTATGTCAGGGAACAAGGACTGCCTATGTTGTCCTCTACTTCTTCATATGGGAGAGACGATGGTGCCAACACAGCTCGTGTCTGCTGACATGGCCTAACCTTGTTGGCCACGAGTTTTATGTACTGGTGGACTTCTTTTCTTACATTTTTATCCTTTTTTCGTTCTGCTTCGACTCTTGACATTCCTTATTATCTGAAAACATAAAACCATACCAAAAATAAGTAAGATAGGAACAAAACAAGGAAATAAGCATAAGAAATAATGATAAAAAAAATACACAATAAGCAGTATAAATACCACTTATCAAGCCTTCTTCTCATTGACCCCATTCAAAAGCAAGCTTTCCCTTTAAGAAGTCCCCTTGGTATGTCGTCTCAGGATTAGCGTCCTCCATTTCCCTATTTCCCCCAAGATCAAATTGAGTGTAATTAATAGGACAAACAATTGGCTCAGGTGGAAGAGGGTTATGTGTATCGTCCACCAGGTGGCCGCCACAGACAACTTTGAACATGTTCAAACGACTCAGATCTATCTCAGGATGAAAGAAGGCGATTTTCTCCCTTTCCCTTTTAAAGTATATATCGAAGGTGTCTACTATATCATATATGAGTACAAACATCTCTTCCTATAGTTTCCTTTAAGAGTTGAGGGCTTGATCTAGAGATTGTCGTAGACTTTACTCTACAGAAACAAACAACTTAGCCTTGGTCTCCGCCTCTCAAAAGTTTTTTGTCAGGGTCTCCTTCTTCTTTTTCAAAGCCTTTATTATCTCCTGCCCTTTGCTAGGTCACATTGATTTCCTGTGAGCTTCCCCATCAACTCATTTTCAATATGCACTTGTTTTTCCATGTCAACACACTACATTAAAAGAATCCTTAGCATATGATTCTCCTTGAGGTCAGACAAATTAAGGGAGGCTTATTATAGAAAACCTTATAATCACTAAGGAAGTCATATCACTAAGGAAGTCCTCATGCTAGGGAAGGTGGACGGTGATAAACTTGATGGCATTGAAGTCGAGTTTGTTCCATATAGAGAACTCAATTGGAGAGTCTCTCCTAGGGGACAATGTATGGGGCCGCCGCCTATACAACACTGACATGAACAACCTTACTCATGGGGCCAGGGGAGGAATCACACCCCTGCATCTATGCTTTTTAGGATTGAGACTCAGAAGGTGCATCACCTTTCATTTTTTGCTTGACCCCCCCTAATTTTCAAGCCGCCAAGACGACTATGGGAATTATATAAGTCTGAGTGTTCAACCTTCCTCTTGGCCCGACGTTCATTCCTTTCATCTAGGGAAATTTTTGGTATATTTTCTGCAGAAGAAAAATGATAAAAATAAGTACATAACCACTTACTAAAACTCAAACAAGAGACATTATCGACAAAAAATACTTAGGTATTTGTATATAGACTTATCACCCCTGATCTAAAGTAATCATAGTGCGGGACTACATGACCTTAAACTCGTCCAAAGCTTGGACTATTTCAATCTCATCAGCAATAAGGTACTCAAAGTTGTACTCGATGATCACCACATGCTTATTCATCTAGGAGAGGGGAAACCTGGGGGAACCATTTTCCCTCGTAGTGACTAAGGAGGAGCCATCTTGTCCCCTCATTCTTACAAACTTATCCTTCCAACCTTTGAGGTGGTTAGAATAAGGTTTGGATAAGGATCTCCCGAGAAAAGCGCTTAGGATGACACATCCCTAGGTAAAATCCTCTTTGGTACAATAAAAGGAAAATAACATCCCTATGATGGGATAGAACCCTAGTCTCCAAAATATAATCTTGAACACCATGATCAAACACCAACCATTCGACATGATATGGAAGGGGTGAAAATTGAGCACCTTAAGAATATTGGCCTCGGAGAAGGAGAAAGGGAGGAAAGCCTCAATTTCATGGATGTTGGGAAGGTAAAAGTAGAAAGAGGGAACAAGATAGTCTTCCAAAGCGACCGTATTTAATGTACCACCTTTAAATAGTAATCTCAATATGAACTCGACAATTCTCTTCACAACCACATCTCCTATGAGCCTTGGGTTCTCGCTTTTGATTATTGCCTCAAACTTTGTCTTTCATGTAGCCTTGTCTATAAAACAAAAATGTTTGTTGTGTTGCTTCACCGTTTTTATTCCTTAATATATTGCTTTATCTTGTTACAAAACTATGTAAACCAACATACCTATTACAAAACATAAATGTCACCTCCATATTTGAAAAGTGATATTTCATTACATCTTTAATGATCATTATTTTAAAGTCAATTTTCCAAATACCATCCATGCCATTAAAAACAATATCAATATTGAAATCAATTTCGGATAATTCATCTTCTTAATCCTCTTCAATTTTGTTATTCGCACTTTTATCAAACAAACCATTATTCTCCAATTTCTAAACATTTATCAAATAGAAATAAGTTTATCATCAAGAGTTCCAAACCATAGCAAAAAATAAAGGAGCAAAAACATTTTAGTATTTAAATGAACTAAATACAAGAAACAAAAAAATGTACCTCAACATCACTACACCAACTCGATTCGATGTAACCCACTAGCTTGCTTTCTTTTCCTTTATCATTTGCAGGAAACAAAATGGCATAATTGAGAGTTCCTTTGAGATACCTTAGTATCCTCCTTGTCGCTATTAGATGTGATACCTTTGACTTCTGCATGAATCTACTCACCATACATACATTATAAGCTATATCATACCTTGTGTGACAAATGTATCTTAATGACCCAATATGTCTTCTGTACTGTGTTGGATCGATATCATCTTCATATGAGTCTTTCGACAGTTGCAGTCTTGGTTCAGCAGGTGTCGAAGTCTCATTGCAGTCTTCCATCTCACATCTTTTGAGTATTTCACTTGCATGTCTAGGAAACTATCTATCTTCTTATTCTAAGGTTTTGGAGCTTGTTTAAGCCCACACAAGGCTTTATGCAACATGTATACCTTGATTTCTTGGCTATGTTTCACAATTCCAACTATTTGTGTAACATAAAATTCTTCATCTAATGGGCCATTTAGAAATGAAAATTTCACATCCATCTGACACATATGCCACTTGTTCATGTTTGTTAGACCAACAACCAACCTAATTGTTTCAATCCTAGCAACATGTGCAAAAACTTCATCGAAATTGATTCTTTATGAAGAAATCATTTCGCCACAAGTCTTACCTTGTGTCGAGTTACTTCTCCTTTTGGATTCAACTTCACCTTATATATCCACTTCACATTTCTTTCTTTCTTGCCTTGAAGCAATTCTACAAGTGACCAAGTGTTGTTGACTTCGATGGACTTCAGTTCCTCATTCATCGCTTTCATCCACTTCGAATCCTTCAATGCCTCAACTGCATTAACTTATTCTACATTTGCATAGAAAACATAGTTTACCAGCTCACCTTTATCATCGACCACATCATCTGATGTAATCACACATTCATGCAGCCTTGCAGGCACGTGTCTTATTCTTCGAGGTCTGCTTGTGCTTGCTTAACATCTGACTTCTTCTTGTCGAACCTCTCTTTCAAATTCACTTGCTATTTCTTCATATAAGATTCTCACTAAATCCTTCTTTACATTTCCAGTCATACCCCATTCATTAAGCTCATATATGATCACATCCATGTTGATCACTACTTTCTTGTTCACTGGGTCGAACAATTTGTATCCACTAGTCGAATGATATCCTATTAGGATCATTTGACTCGACTTGTCATCAATTTTTCTTCTCAACTAATCAGGAACATGTCTATATGCTATAGATCCAAATAATTTCAGATGACTTAAGTTAGGCTTGACACCAGACCAAGATTCTTCTGGCGTGATTCCTTCTAGCTTCTTCATCGGACATATGTTCAAAATGTATGTTGTAGTCGACACAACTTCTCCCCATAATTCTTTGGGTAGACGCTTTCCTTTCAACATGCTTCTCACCATATTCATGATGGTTCTATTCTTCATTTCAATTGTTCCATTTTTTGTGGAGTATAGGGTGGCATCACTCTATGCACAGTCTCTTCTTTCTCACATAATGTGTCGAAGTCTTTCGACACATATTCTCCACCATCATCACTCCTTAGAATCTTGAGCTTTCGGCCACTTTATCTCTTGACCATAGATTTAAACTTGGAAAATACATCGATCACTTCACTTTTCATCTTGATAAGGTAAGTCCATAATTTTCGACTGAAATCATCTACGAATGTGACAAAGTATTTGTTATCTCCAGTCAAATACACCTGGATAAGACCACACACATCAGGGTATGTGATTTCAAGAGTTGCCTTCGACTTACTTCGTGCATCCTTGCTGAAGTTGTTCTTGTGTTGTTTTTCCTACACAAATTCCTCACACACTTCATTTGGAATGCCAATTTTTGGTAACCCTGAAACCATATTTCTTCTTTTCATATCTCTGATGTCTTTGAAGTTGAGATGACCAAGTCTATAGTGCCATATTCATTCATGCCTAATAGTTGCAGTTGCAAGGCACTTGTGCTCCATCATATTAAGTTCAATCTCAAAGGTTCTATTATGAGACATATGAGCCTTCAAGATTAACCTTCCACCTGAGTCAATAACTCTCATCATCTTATCTTCAATCGGAACTTTGTAATTTTTTCGACCAATAGTCCTATAATGAGAAAATTATGGTATATACAATACATTGGAAATTACTGACATTTTTTCCATCTTTCCTCATAATCAGAATAACACCAATACCTTCAACAACTAAAGTATTGTCATTTGCAAATTTCACCGTGTTCTTCATCGAGGGTTTTATGTTGACAAACCAATCTTTCTTATCAGTCATGTATGATGAGTATCCTGAATCCAAGTAACATTGGTCCTTGAACTTTCCTTCATCTCTCGATGTGACCATAAACAACATTTCTTCTTCTTCTTCTTCATGTTTTGTAAGCCTTGCATCATTTTCTTAATTCTTTTTGTTCGTCAGGGCAATCCCTAGAGTAGTGACAATACTTCTGAAAATTGAAACACTAAATGTTACTTTTGTCAGGTTTTCGTCCACCAGGTTTTCCTCTACCTGAAACACCACATATGTGGTTACTTTGGTATGAGGGTCTTCTGTTATTCATAGAATTTCCTTCTTGCTGGTTTCCTCTACTAGTTGAATTGTTGTAGCCCCCTCTACCTTTATTATCGAACCATTTTCCTTTGGCTTTCTTCTCTCTTGCTGATTGTGCCTGCAGATCCACATCACTCTTTGACTTGCTTCCAGCTCTTTCAACCATTCTTTATTCATGAGATTCAAGCGTCCCTTGAAGCTCATTCATTGTCAATGTTAACAACTCTTTCGATTCTTCTATGGCTATTACCACATGATCTAACTTTGGAGCCAATGATCTCAAGATCTTTGCAACAACTGACCTTGATGTCAACGCTTCTCCATATACCTTGATTTGATTCACCAATTTCATAACCCTAATGAAGAAATCAATTATGCTTTTGTAGCGGTGAAAATTAGAGATCAAGCTATTGATTAAATTGACTCACAAATAAGCAAGAGTCACCACCGTGCTTTATTATTTCCAAGGGAAAATGGAGAAGTGCGAAATAAAACCCATAAATATACAAAGTATGAATAATAATAAAAAGTATAAAAAAATACAATACATTTGAAAGATCGAAGGTTCGGGGGTTGGTTATACAAAGGGAAGGTGTTAGCACCCAATGCATCTGCGGTACTTCGCAGGAACCTTTTGAAATATTTGTGTCTTTTTGTTAAAATATTGGTTTGCTTGCTAAATGAGTGTGGGTTTGAGATTTTGAAAATGCAACGACCTAATGTCGAGGTTTTTGGCTTAAAAGAGTGTAAGTTAAAAAATTGAGTTTTTTTTAGGAGATTTAACTTAAGATTAACAAAACTAAAAAAATATATGAAGGGGTTTCGCACAATCATATTAGATATATTCGATGACATGAAGTCAACAAATTTGATTCTTTCCCTTGGAGTAGACAAATGAAAATATAAAGACTAAATGATCAAAAAGAAATTAAATAGAATAGCAATTAAATAATTAAATAATTAACAATTAAAAATAATTAAAACAAAGAGACTAAATTATACTAATATATCTTGAAAAACTTAGTAATTAAAGAAAAAGAAACAACTAGGGATTGAAATCAGGTTCCCTATATTACAACCAGTCTGCCTTGTCACTAAACCACCATTGCTTTACTATTTCAAATACTCCTTAACTAAAATAAAAGGGAGAATAACAAAATGGAGTTGGACTAAAAGGTGGATAGGGTCGGATTCGATTGGTCTTAGAGGAGAATTTGAAATCGGGTCAGGCCCAGAACAAAATTAGGGAGTGGACATTGAAACACAACCCTAGGATGACTATGTCAAAGTTTCAGCCGTTCAATGCTCTTCCTTGTTTCTCTCATCAATATTACTATTCCAATTAATCCTAATTAATGACAAAATTAACAACGAAAAACGAATCAAATACTCTCTCAACTCACAATTTTTCTCTCTATATCCCTATTTTTTCACGACTCTCTTAATCTCTTCTCTACATCTTACAGTTTTGTTATACTCATTTTCTCATGATTTTCTTTGTACTTCATCTTTCTCACTACTCACTGTTTCTTACGGTTTCAAGACCTCTACGAATTACCAAAGCAAAATAGGCCAAGCTCAAAAGTAAGCATGAATCAACAACAATTGCAAATAAGAAAAACAAGCATCAACAATGGAGTAACATCATGAATCACACGAGGAAATAATCACAAGAAATTTGCACGAAGATGAGTGTGAAATCGGTTTACCGGGTCGACGATATCAAACGTGCTTCTGGGTATGATACTTCGGTGGCTCCCCTTCTTATTCTTGAAAGAAATTTGTAGATCAATCCGAAAATTATCGGTGGAAGATTCTCTGAGGTAAGTTTTTTTGCTTCCGGTGCGAACTGTTGGTTGTTGTATTTTAATAAGACCCAATTTTGAGTTTATTGAAGATACAAGAATTATTGTGTAGAAATGATGCTGTAGGGAGTTATGGAAGTGTTTGAGGTTTATGCAGAATTATTTTTGTATCACTTTCTCTTTTCTTTTCAATTTTGGCTCTAATTTTCTGTGTTTTTTAACAAGGTTGGTATTTTTTTTGTTAGTTTCTCCCCCTTATTGTTTTTTTTTCCTGAGTTTCTCCTCCTCCTCTAATATCAGTAACTTTTTCTTCTTTTTTATATGACAACAAGACAAAGAGAGATACTAATAATAATGATAATAATAACAGTAATAATGATATTAGTAACAACTAAACAAATAAAAGCTAAAAATATTTATAGAAAAAATGTTAGTAACAATAATAATAAAGAAAAGACTAAAAATTAAAAATATAAAATGAAACTAAAAGTGACATCAAAAAATTGATTTTATTTTAATAATAATCCAATTTGAATCAAAATTAAAACAAAATTAAAATTAATGTTTTTTTTGAAAGAAATAAAGAACGAAAAGTGCAATATTCATGTGCAAAAGAAATTAAATCAAGTTTCTAATAAATTCACAAAGCAACCTCAAAAGTTTTCATTTCTCGTGGTTTTTCAAAATATAATCAACTCTTGATTTATAAAGAAAAGTTGTAGATGTTGTCAAAGTGAATCATATGTAAAAAGAGTCACTAAAAATGTCAAAATTTGAAGAAGTTGTGAATTTTTGAAATCTAACTTGAGAATTGGTAAAAATAGGTCAAACCACTCATGAACACTTGCTATGCAATGATGCATATGGAATATGGGATCTTAGGTAAAAAATTAGGGTATGACAACTTTCACTTTCTTCCATCTGAAGCAATTCATACGTTCTTT